GCTCTCTCTCTCATTCTCTCTCTCAAATAAATAAAAAAATCTTTAAAAAAAAAAGATATGAAATGAAAATCGCTGTGGGAGAATAGCTGACATCATCATGCATAAGCTAAAGAACGAATACCTGGTTAAATAAAAATATGAACATCTCAAAGGTAATTACCATACAGGGCATGAAAGAAGTCCATGAATCTCCCATGTTAGATACACTGAAGAAAGTGTTCTAAGTCTTAAACTCTTAGAAATGCTATTATTTTGTGACTAATGAATCAGTGAATAAAAATCCTTATGATTTAGTTTAATATTTTTTTCTTTCAATTATCATTGTTATCATCTCCAGAAAAATTCTGAACAATTTCTAGATGCATATTTGGGTATTTCCTTAACACAATGGCAGGAACTGACATATACCTAAAAATATAATGTAAGATTTATGTTGAATCCTCGTCCTACTGAGAGCCATAAATAAACTGTAATAAACCATTTTAGGAGACAGAATGCTCTTTGAATTAGAAAGGAGCCCATGAACAGAAAGGGTTTTCAGATCGAAGACTTTATTGGCAAAATGAAACCATAACCAGTGGTTTGCTCTCTATTAATCAGCTTGTATTTCATTTTATATTTGGTTGATTTTGAATTATTTGAGATATTATAATGGTCTACAGGATGTACATTTCAACATATACTGTCCATTTAGGAAAATGTATGGAATTGGGTATATCAGGCTATTTGATACTATAAAATACATCATTCATGTAACTGCCCTTTCCTGACTACAGGCTTATCAATCTATTTTCTGATTATGATGTGGATACCTATTTGGTGTCCCTATTTCACTGATTCAAAGGAAAACTTAAGAACAAAAGCCATTTTAGCCATTTTATCACTTAACAAGAAAAAGATCTATTTTAAACCTACTCTTACTATTTTATGAAGGATAGGACACACACAAGAATAACTAGAGCATATATCCCAGATATTGGGAACTGTTTACCATGTATAGGTTTAATGAAAAACAAAACACTATTACCAGGCTTATCCTTCAAATCCATACACTGTAGCTCTTATCCTTAAGGGTTAGAGTTCATATTTTCATTACATCTGCCTTTCTCTACCTCAATGGAGTATGAAAAAACATGTAAATCAGTATGGGAGTCAAAAGTGAGGTAACCCTCCCCCATCCTGCAAAACAAGGAAATATGACTGATACAATTTCTTCCTTAGAGCTAAACCGGGGAAGGAGGGATGCTAATCATTTATTGAAGCAACACAAAGAGTTTACAGGAGTCAGTGCCAAATTATGCATTATTTAAAGCAGAAGAAACATTGCTAATGAACTTAATCTGATTTCAACCTCACAAACACATTTGTGCTATTATAATTTTCCTTCCCAAGTATATGTGCCTACCAAGAGCAATATATCAGTCAGTTACATGTGAGTATTCTGGTTCTTGTCATAGCTAAATATCTCATTTAAAATGACTGAATTTTCATTTTGATTGATATATCCTCTTTTGAGCTTAAAATTATGCACCCCCCCCCACTGCCACCATATGGATCTGCTGTCAACAAGATGAGGTAATCAGGTCTGTGACACAGAGGATTAGATTCTAGTGGTTGATAAATTCACCACTGAAAGAATATCCTCGGAGTTATTTCTGAGGTTTTCCTGTTGAGACCCTATTACCACCACTTGATCTCCTTAGTTGGACTGATTCACTATTCCAAAGACCATTTAATTACATAACCCTACCCAAATATCAGCTCCACAGACACTGCTTCTCCAAACTGTAGTTTTAGAATATGGGAAAGCCTCAAGAAAGTGAGAACAGAGTCTGCAACTTCAAACAAGTCGGCAAACAAAAAAAGTGCCTCATAGCTTAGAAGAAAAGCAGAGGTCAAGAATCATTATCCCTCTAATCCATGTGTCTGGAAAGTATGACTATGTAGCACCAGAGATAATGATGAAATTTACTTAAGTGTAATATAATAAAAATATAAATACAGTACTGCCTGTCAACTGAAGAAGCAGAAAATGAATAACCGTCCAATGGAGGACTTCCCCCAGAGTGACAAATTATAACAGAAGCAGTGTCAGGAATAGATTTCCTGATTTAAAGAGTAAACCATGTTGCCTTTTATAGAGTATATGAATGAAATTGGCAAGAGTAGCTAATTAATTATAGCTGATTAGTCTATCAAATCTCTTGGTAGAATAAGCAAAACATGAACTTTTTATAACTATTTGGAGTCAATGTACTTCAAATGTAATATCCTTCATCCATGAGACATATACATTCTAAAGGCTTGGAATTTTTTCTCAAGTTTTACACTTCAGTTTTAGATAATGGTACTTTGAGAGCTAAAATCATATGAGATAATTCATAATACGTTGCAAGAAGAACATTTTAAATACACTCAGGATATAGAAAAAACATATAATGCATAATTTCTCTTTTGTACTTAGTTTGTGGAAATGTTAAATCTGAGACGATAAATATTAAATTATACTAAAAACTGTGGTAGTCCAGAAATGTACCAACCTTCAGGATCAAGCAGTTTCTCTATGCCTAATTGATATTTGGCAATGTTGAATGCATGTTCCAGTCGCTGTGTGGCTGACTGCTGGCAAACCACACTATTCCAATCAAACAGGTCTGGCCTGAAATACACACACATAAAGACCAAATATAAATCAACTTACAATGTTTCATGAGATTCACTTCATTTCTGATTTTTAATTGACAACCCATGCCCATATCCTCAAGAATTGAGTGCTACTCTTCATAACCCCTCAATAACGCTTTTCATTTAACAAGTCACAATTTTACTTGAAAATCCTGAAGAAAACAAAGGAGAATTTATTCTCCCTTGCCAAGTAAAAAAAATATATTGATGTCATCCAGTGTCAGAAATTTGAATGCCAACCATTTGCTGGTAACTTCCAATTTCATAAGCCTAGCCCAGACCTCTTCCCTGAACTCCAGACTTTAGATTTATCTGCTTGTTCAGTATCTCCACTTAGAGTCATCACAAGACTCAGGTGTCCAAAACCGAGCTTCTGGTACTCATCTCCATCCCACTCCCCCAACCCACCTACTTCTCTTATAGCTCTCCTTTCCTCAATAATCAAGGACAAGTTCAAACTTGCAGTGGCTCAGACAGAAATCTTAGAGTCTAATTTGATGACTCGCACTCTCATACAACGCTTAGTTGGAAATATATCCAGAATTTGACCACTTCTCATTACCCTTGCAGCCATCACCTCCACCCAAACCACCATTTTACCTTGTGTGGATTATTTATTGCATTAACTTTCTAACTGCTCCCCTACTCCCACTCTTGCCCTTGTTAATCTATTCTTGGCAAAGCTGCCAGAGTGATCTGTTAAAATGTTTCATCATAAACTTCTTCTCAAATCCCTGCTACCGGGGAGTAAAATTCATTGATTTAACTGTGACCTACAAGGCCCTACATGGTCTGGCTCCCTGTTAACCATCTGATTTGATTCCTTGACTCTCTCCTCCTATTCTTCAAACAGGCTAGGTAGCTTCTGTATTTGCATGTGCTGCTCTCTGACTGGAATTCTCTTCCCCCAGACATGGACATGGCTCACTCCTCCACATCCTTTGTGTCTTTCCTCAACAGTTGCATTATTGGTGAGTCCTTCCTTGCCCTCTCCCCATCTAAAATTGCACACTCCCAAATCAAACTTAAACATACTCATTTCTTATCCCTTTCTTTCTCATCACCACTTACTATTAATATTTTATATATTTAATTAATCTTGTCTATTTATCTGTTTCCCCCACTAGAATGCAGAATATACAATTTTTTTCACCAGTTTTGTTCACTTTTAGAAACCCAGCCTGACACATAGGAGATAGTCCATAAATATTTGTTGACTAAATATGTGTTGAATCGATAAATTTTGTTGACATGCAACCAGAGACTAGATGAGAACATACTATATGAATATCATTTTACTTGATAATAGAGAAAACACGAAGAAGCATAAGAGGGAGTTCTTATCCTATATGGACTTAAAATTTAATAAGGAAAAAATGCACACATCATAAGTTAAAATAAATTCTAAATGTAAAAAATACAGATAATAAGAATGTTTTCTAAAATCTGAAGAGGTCAAGAAACATTTTTTTGAGGCTTAAGGTGGTTTAGGTTTAGATTCAAGAAGTTTTTGAGAAGGTAATTCTGAGTTGTGTGGATATTGAAAAATCACCAAAGTTCTTATGGAAGAAAAAAGCAGAATGTGCTCAATCAGACCTCACAGGCCTGGCTCCATTGAGAGATTTTCAGTATCAAGAAGGGGTGGGAGATAGCGTTCCTAGGAAGGGGAACTGGGATGAGTTTGTGAAAGCCTTGCCTGTATAAGGAATTACAATTTACCCCAACAAGACTGGAAACCATTAGTCCAGTGGTTCTTTGCCTTTTGCCTTTTCTGGAACACAGATACCTTTGAGAATCTGATGAGCACTATAAAACTTGTATCCATACACAAACCTGTCCATATCTTTACACATAACTTACGTAGAATTTTAGGACAATTGGGTCTGTCAATGGACACCTGGTTAAGAACTCATGCTCTGCAAGTAAGGAAATTATAAGGATGGTCTTAACTGTTGTTTTCAAAAACCACAACTGAAAATAAAGGTACAACTTGCTCATTTGACTCTCATTTCCTTTTCTTTACTTGATGCTACCCTGATTAATTTACCAGAATTTTGTCTGCTTCTTAGGAAGTCTAATGTGCCCTCTATACTCCAAGTTACCCAAAAGAGCTAACGATATTTTAGAACCTAAAATAAGTTGGGAGCTGACTCTAGTACTGGAAAGACTATAAGAAATACAAATTAAATTCTAAACTATTTGGGGAAGTTTTAACTTCACTATGCAACCTCTGCCCTACCTTCTTTTCTACATCCCTCAGCAAGGGAAGCAGGAAAGAATATAGGTGGGAGAGTGTGGGAAACTAGCTTTCTCACCTGCAGTACAATCAACAAGGTTAAATAAGGAGGATGAAAAAGAATACAGTTGCTTCCTCATTCTAACCCTTTTCCCTTCATCCCCTTCTCCTCTTGGCCACGAGCTAATCACCTGGGTGAGGAGCTGTCTGACTCATGTTATCTATTTGAGCTTCAGTGTTTTCATTTAAAAAAGAAGGAAATGTACTAAATGGCCTTTGAGGTTTCCTCTAGCATTAAAATGGTTTTAAGTCATTAAAATTCATCATTAATTAACATTTTAAACAACTATGATTTCCAAATGCATAAAGAATTTTAAGACTAACCAACTGCAGAAGAAAGCTACATACCTTCCCATGCTAACCCAAACCTGAACCCATAAATAGGAACCTGCAACCAAAGTTCACCAGTCTTTTGAGGAAACAGACAAATTGAATAAGACAACATAGCCTAGTAGATAAGCAGAGTCCTCTATAAATTCAAATCCTGGCTGTACCACATATTAGCCAAATGGTCTTAGGTAAATAATGCACCCTTTCTGTGCCTCAGTTTCCCAATATGTGCAATGGGACTAATTATAGTGTCTATGTCATGAGAAACAGGTGGGCTATTTTAATTAGAAAAGTGGCTACAAAATAACATTAACTTAATAAACATCAACTTTCATTACTTTGTTCTAAGGTTAATTATATTTATGAAATAACTAATGCATTTTCAATGTATAGACTCGTGTCAAAAACACCTATAACCTATATAAATGTTACAGACACTGTTGATGCAAGAATAATACTATAAGACAGGAGGGTGGTGGGTGGGATGGGTGAAGGGGAATGAGAGATAGAGGCTTCCAGTCATGTAATGAATAAGTCATGGGAATAAAAGGCACAGCGGAGGGAATGTAGTCAATGATACTGTAATAGCGTTGCATGGTGACAGACGGTAGCGACACTCGTGGGGGCCATAGCATCATGTCTAGAGCTGTGGAACTGCTATGTTGTACACCTGAAACTAATATAACATTACGTGTCAACTATACTCAAACGAAATTTTTCTAAGAGTATTATAATAAAATGGAAGGTGGCGAGGAGAGAAGAGGAGGAACTACAAGTGTAGTAATTTTGTCATCTGTTATATCAGGTAGTCAACAGATCTTGTCTAAACCTGATGAAACAAGGTACGGCAAGACCACTTAAAGTAAAGCAGGCAACAATTTTAAAAATGAAACGATTAGGGGCACCTAGGTGGCTCAGTGGGTTAAGCATCTGCCTTCGGCTCAGGTCATGATCCCAGGGTCCTGGGATCGAGCCCCATGTTGGGCTCTCTGCTCAGCAGGGAGTCTGTTTCTCCCTCTGTGCATGTTCTCTCTCTCAAATAAATAAATTCTTTAAAAAAATTTTTAAAAGAATGAAATTACTTTATAGTCATCAAATTAGGAAACAGATGGGGATAAGAGATAATATTTGTGGGCTTCATATCAAGGAGTAAATCCATCTAGTGTCAGACACCAGTTATTCAGGAAATAATAATACATAATTATGAAAACCATGAGAAAGAATAAAAGAAGTTCCTGACCGTAACCACTTGTAGGAAGTGGATGGCGATGGGGTGGGCTTGGGGTCATGAAGACACATTCTATTTTGGTTTTTTTTTCCTTTGCACCCCGCCTCCCCAGTGTCTCACTTTTTTTTTAACCACATGTTATGTTGTCTCTATGGTAATAAGTTAAAATGAAGAATTAGGAAGAAAATTTAATTGTAACATTATACTTACTTGCAACTTATATATTTTGAGCTATTTCTAGCCAATTATCATTTAGTTTTCCCAAAAAAGTAGAATCTGGCTTCCTTTTTTTAAAAAAAAAAAGATTATTTATTTATTTATTCGACAGAGAGAGACACAGTGAGAGCGGGAACACAAGCAGGGGGAGTGGGAGAGGGAGAAGCAGGCTTCCCGCTGAGCAGGGAGCCTGATGCAGGGCTCGATCCCAGGACCCCGGGATCATGACCTGAGCCGAAGGCAGATGTTTAACGACTGAGCCCCCCAGGCGCCCCAGAATCTGGCTTCAAGTGCACTGTAGTCTACATTGTGTTTTAATACAATACTTCTAATTTCCTACATAGTAAGATAAAATTTAGCCTTAAACAGATATAAAGCCAGCAATATCCTAATCTTTGGCAAGACTCGTTGTCAATCCCTATGCTCTATATTAAGTGCATGCCTTTGTTCTATAGAGCTTAGTCACTCAATTATTGAAATCAGAACACCTCATGACATTCCTAACTGTACCAATGATAATCACCTTGGAACAGAAAGTTCAGAGCATTTTTTTCTTTAGATAAACAATATGAACATCTGTCAAAGAGAAAAAGAAGAGGGAAATGATTCATGAAAGAGCATTATCAACCCAGAGAAACCTCTTGAAAAATAACTATGGTATGTATGAAAAGGTAGTTACTGATGATTCATTCAGTATGACAGGAGAGAAGATATAAACGATATTCTGAGAGAGAAAGAGTGGGTCAGGGACAGATGCAGCAGGGCAACCTGGAAATGTTTACTGTATTACAAGCATATTCAGAAATCACGAAATACAATATTAACAAACGTAGTATGTGAACATGCTGGCAGGACTGAAGCCTTCCACTTGAAAAGAAAATGCTGAAGAGCCAACAAGGACCGCATAACCTGATCCTCGATATTTCTGTTCATCTGCAAACGTGTACATGAACAGCAAGATCGATATGTTCAGGCCCTTACTGTGAAGCATGTGGCTGCATAAATCAGCACTGACTTATAATGCAGAATGAATGCCTCTATTCCTTCTCATCTGGCTGTATTGAAGCTGTGCTGTATTTTTCTTCGTGTCATACTTAGGAAAAACAACGTGTTAACACTGCTTAACATGCCAAATGAGTGTGAGCTTGCCTCCTTTTGAAAATCGGGTTGCTGAGTCATTCACCTGGAAACTCAGTCTGGATGGGGTTAATTAAATCCAGCTGGATCAAGACACCTGACAAAGCTGCTTAGTGAGAGAGCATTTGTTCTTGGATGAAGCTTTAGCATTAAGAAAGTGTATATTCTGGACTTTTCTAGAAACAAGACCAACATAGGGAAATGGGAGACTCGTCAAGAAAAGAAAGATCAAAGTGAGCAAAGATAAGCTGCATTGAAAATCAGGGCGGATGCGGTCCAGTGGCATTTCAAACACAGTTAATAAGGCGATGTCTTTGACCCTGGGGATTGGGCTGGATAAAAGAGATGGGTAACAGGAAAACCAAAGCAGATATCCCTTAGAGTGAATGTAGTGTATATAGAATATATATTTATATATTACATATAATATAAATGAATGCATTATATGTACATATTTCCCATGCTGTTTTGCTTTTTCTTGAACTGTTAATAATTCCTTTATTAAGCTTCTTTATACAAGAAAAAAGCAAACAACTATTTTATCTTAGAAAATATAATAGCGCATGGCATACAGTTAAGAACATTTGGTTCACTGTATCACAATGAGTTCTTTTTATGAAGAGCCACAGAACTCTCTTTCAGTGCTTTAACAGCAATTGCTCTGCTGTTCCAGAGCAATTGTTTCTTTTGATATTCTAAGCACTGAATCATAGAATTGTGGTCTGCTCTTTGCCTTGGTTGCTAAGATGCTCCGAGCCTCTTTTAATCCTGAAATACATATAAAAAAAAATACACAAGGCCTTACGTATTTGCTATCTAAGTGTGTATCTGACAAGAGAAATGTTTCTTTTTCACATTATTAATCGGATGATAGTAATTAATTTTGCTACAGCCACTCACATGAGATTTGGAACCATTTTAGCTCTATTGTTTAGGCCCATGCTAACACATTATTTATTTAGAAAGACCAACTCCATTCTTAGCCAAGTTAGAATATAACCTTGATTTTCTGGCAGAGTCCCAAATTCAAACATGCTGGTCCCCTCCCCCTCCCACCATAACCACATTCATGCTCCAGTATTTTAATATTTCAACAACGAAATGATATATAGCATAAAAAATAGGATATTCTTATTCAGTGCATTCCAATGGATAGATCAATATGGTTAAATACACAACATGTCACATAGTAGGAAATGAGCTGGAACCACACTGGAGAAAAAGATAATCAGTCTCTAAATCAATACTTAAAAAATCAGTCAGTATCTCAGTAGTCTCCTTACCTATGACTGTGGATGAGAGCGTTCAAAGCCAGCCCATCAGACCAGCTGGTGGTGAAGTTAATGACATTAACCTGTGGGTAATTACGAGTTGATTGTCGGACCCAGCTCAGGAGAATCTTTTCACTGTTGGTTTGTTGCAATCCAGCCATGATATTTTTCATTACATTTTTGACCTACATGTGAAAAGAAATGTTCATAAGAAAATGCATTCCCTGAACAAGAACCACACAAACTCAAATGTAAATATCCTAATCTTCAGTAAAAAGTAATAGAAATTTTAGAGTCAATTAGTAATGAGAAATAATAGACTCTACCAGGACGGAGTCCATGCTAATTAGTTAGGAATCTATTCTGATTGGTTGGTGTCACGATACACCATTCATTGTACACGTTTAATATCAACTCCTGGATTCTGCCTACGTTAAACTATTAATTTTGTACTCCTAACTTTCAATGGATATACTAGAGAAGAGTACAAAAACATCGGACTTGTTATTGACCAAGGACTTAATTTTAGTGTTTTTAGGACAGAAAGAATGGCAGTGGCTAAGAGAATGAGCTTACTTTATTTAAACCTAGGTTCAAATTTTGCCTTTGCTATTAACAAAGTGTGTTAATACAATATTAACAAACGTAATTTAATCTTTTTTAGGCCTCTGTTTCTTATACATACAAGGTTGTTTTAAGAATCAAAGGACAACTATAGTAAAATAAAATCCCTAGGTTTATACTATAACTTAATGCAAATTATATTTACTGACCAAAATGAAAAAAAAATAGAGCAGAAAAATGAGTTGGCCTATTTAAAATAAAGAACAAAAAAAATCAACAAAACAGAAAGTATTTATCCCTAAAAGCTGTGAATATATTGCCTTGAGTTTCTATGTTCACTTGTTTTTGTTTGTTGTCAGTCTGGTTTAATTTGTTACAGCTTTTTTCAGGAAAGAGCTTCACATGCAAGAGAAGAACAAAGGTTTCAAATGCCCAAAACATGGTCCAGAACTCTGGCTCGTGTATGAAGCGTCCTGAATCCTCCTGGGTTACAGGAAATGCCATTTAAGAAGCTGCTTTTGTATAAAAAAAAAATATGTTACAAAATCCCATTGACGGTACATACACAGCGTACGTCCTTAGATGAACACAGAAGGCACATCTTACCTCTCCAGAGGTGGTGAGAGACCTGTCCTGGTGTCTAGAAGCACAGCGCTGGTCGCCCCCAGGGGGAAAAGAGTGGCTGGGCCTGCCCAGTGACCCAGACGCTGTCACTGTTATTTCATGGTGTTCTTGATATTTTGGACCTGATAAACTAAATCTATGAGCTTTTCATTGAAACAGCCTTAGACTCAGAAGAGTCATGTCACCTGAAGAAGGCGTGGTCTCCAAAAATGTGAGGTGTCAGTTACTGTCACGGAGACCCACTCTCTCCTAGATGACAGGGCAAAGGTCAGTATGAAGAATGAAGAGGGACCTGGTACTCCCTGAACAAAAGAATCTTGGAAGGATCATTCTCAACAAAGTGCCTGGTATGAGCAGGAGCACCAAATGCAGACAAACCCGCCGGTGCCTGGAGGGCTGTCTTACTGGTCCTCGCACCCCCACCCTCCCTCCTCCTGCAGCACGAAATGCTTCCTGTGATGGGGTAACAGGCTCTAACTGCATTGTCCCCTTGCGCTTGTTTTCGGCAGAAAGGTTAAGGGCTTAAAGTTGCGCAGCAGACATAGGGAGAAGGGGAGGAACGTTCAGGATGCCCTCACACGCACAGTGCTTAGGCGGTGCTAGGCCAAGTGGTGCCGTTTTGTGCAGTCACCGTGGGGCTGTGGGCGGGCCGCTCTGTCTGCAGCTCCTCGAGAAGTCCCAGCCCCCGTCCCAGCACACACTGTCCCCTGGCCGCACTCTCCCCACAGGGGCAGGACTGACGGCCCCGTGTGGCTCAGGTTGCCTGAGCACTCGCGGGACTTGAGTCAGAGTCGAGAGTCGGCACTTCTTCGGCCTTTCTGGCTGTCGCCTGCAGTGCCTCCTCGTCTGAGGACTCTGGCCCCGTGGTTAAAGATCACGTAGAAGCCCCTTGCAGGTAGGATGGTGGCAAAGAAGCCAGGGGCCCCGGCTGCCCTGAAAGCCCCGTGCGAGGATTTGGGGACAGCTGCAAGGGAGATGGCGAGACAGACGAGGACCGCCGTGGCACTACGTAGGAAGTCCATCAGGGGCCAGCGCGAGCCCTACCACTGTCAGCCGCAGGGCATCAGCGAGGCGGAGGGAGAGGGCCTGCAGAAGTCCCGCAGGGGCGCGGGCAGGAAGGCGGCCCGCTGAGGACGCCACACAGCAAAGGTGACCCAGGACCCGCCCGACGCCGCCAGCAGGAGGCGGTCTTTGAGCGAGCAGAGGACGGCGCGCCGGCGGGAGGGCGGAGCCTGGACGGCCACCAGGCTCTGGTCTGGTTTCGGGTTGGGGTCTGGGTCAGGCTCTGCGGGCCATGAAGCTCCGCCTCCCTCCCTCTCTTTCCCGAAGCCAGAAGAGAAATGGAAACCCAGACCATGGGGAAGGAGAAAAAGGCCAGACTCTTGGTTTTATTTTAATTAGTCTCTGTATATTGGATTCTCTCCTAGGCTTTGTGCAAATGCTGTATTTCCAAGTTTCATTCTTCTAACTAAACTGATGCAGAAATCCATTCTAAACATTTCTCTAGGTTTCAAGAATGCAGTGACACCACATTATAGAACAAACTGTCTACATATTCTAGTAAAAGCATAATTACTAGGCTACTTTTTTGTTGTTGTTTCTTTTTTTTTTTTTTTGTAGTGTTCCATGATTCATTGTTTGCGTATAACACCCAGTGCTCCATTCAATACATGCCCTCTTTAATACCCATCACCAGGCTAACCCATCCTCCCACCCCCCTCCCCTCTAGACCTCAGTTTGTTTCTCAGAGTCCATAGTCTCTCATGGTTCGTCTCCCCCTCCGATTTCCCCCCCTCATTTATCCTTTCCTACTATCTTCTTTTTTTTAAAAAACATATAATGTATTATTTGTTTCAGAGGTACAGGTCTGTGATTCAACAGGTCTACTTTTTAAATATAAGTCAGGCCCCTTATCATATACCTGAAGGAAATATATAAGTAAATGTGATGAGTTTTTACCACCAAGGGCTTTCTTTTTGGAAAGTGTGAGGTCCATATACTACCAACATTTGATCAGATGATGAATATTTATCGTGTATTCTAAATATGACATTTTATTTTGCTTCTTCATCCACGTAGAAGTTAACAAAGGCCTCAGGGGAAAATACATATTTTAACATCTCCAATGTTAGTCATCTTTTTATGAAAGCGTCAATGCAAATTTTAGGAGAGACTGTTAAATCTAACTAAAAAATACTTGAAAAGGATTTGAGATGATGCTTTGTAAATGTGGTAATGATTTGAAGATGTAAAATCTTTGCATATGCTTACCACCATCCCTTGATAGCTAAATCTATTATTTAGAGGCAGATTATCCAGTTTTCTTAATTCCTTCCTGACCTGCTTATTTAGTCAGTTACTCAGTGAATAAATAGGTCAAATAGTTATATAAGATATATCATTTTTCTCATCATATTCTAAAGTTATAACGTGCACAATCTCCAAGCACAGTGATTGCAAGACATGGACTTTTGTGTCCTGTGCCGAACCAGGACTGGACTCAGCACCTACTGGCTCAGTGGTGGTGATTTGAACTGATCGGGCAACCCTCCCATGATGAATGGGTTTCATTTGTGAAATGCTTGGCCAGACTGCCCTCTATGCACATAATGTTAAAGGACAACACGGTATTCAATCCAAAACTCCTTTAGCATCATTATGTCATTAAGTCAGCTTATCAGCCTCAGCCTCACTGGTGTTGCTTCTTCTATCTGGGTACAAATGTTGCTAAGAAAAAAATAATAATAATAAAGGGCAATGTAAGATAATCAGTTCTTTTCCTACCTAAAGGATAATTACCGAGAAATCTTTATTAAGGACCAACTTTTGGTCAGACACTGAGCTGGACCTGAGGTGAGTCTTAAAGCAGAATAATTTCCCACCCTTTGGGCTTACAGTCCCTAAGAGAGAAAATCAATTTAAACGTGTGTGTGTGTGTGTGTGTGTGTGTGTGTGTGTGTGTGTACAGCTATACCTACATCTGTTTTTAAAAGTAAAAGGTTGAAATGTCTTTAAGCAGTGATTTCAAAAAATGACTAGGAGTTAACTGGGCAAAGAAGGTATGATGGACGTGGGGATGCAGCACCAAGATTGTCCTTTAAGGAAGGGCTTGTTGCTGCAGCTGTCTCAGCTCGCAGCTGTGAGTCCTCTCAGGGTCCGCCAGAGTTGCAGAGTCATGTCACCTAAGGTCAAGCCCTTCCTAGGGCAGACCACATCTAGTGACTGATGAAGGGAAATAGTATAAAGACTCAGCCACGTCAGCCCCACTGAGAACAACACTGAAGGGCTATACCAGCTCCCAGTTCCCCGTGGGGTTGCAAACAGCCATTGCTGGAGGGGGGGGCGGGAGGTACATCACAGCTCCAGTGCTTCTCATTCCAGTTACCATCTCCCTTCCTCAAGTACTCGTCCCAGAGATGTGCCTTAATGAATGTCCTGCCCACTAAATTCAACGTCTACTTCCCACAATCCATCATGTGATGACAAGGAGCCATGGTGGAGGGGTAGGAGTAGAGAGGGGTAGGGATAGTCTTCTACAAGGGAAGGATGGTGTGTGTGAAGAAAACGAGAGCAAGAACTGTCTTGCATACAAGGCATTAGGTAGACAGGAGTTTACAGCAAGGGCTTTCAGCAGCGCCAAAACCATCTTTCTCCTGTAATGGGCAAATAACAAATAAATAAACATTGCCGTGTGAAGTAGCCCTGGATCTGAGTACTTCCTTTGACCTGGCCAGCAAAGGTGGGGACCTGACCCCGAATAGCACACCACTGTTTGCAGGATATATCTGTATCTCCAGCTGGTTGTTAGGACTGAGCTGACCACCCTAAAAAGGAAGGTTTGCACTTAAAAAAGAGGAAGAAAAAGATGCCCAACACACGTTGTCTACTTCACAATTTTGTTCAAAGCTGCTTATTCCTCAATAGAGGCATTATTTTTCAGGCTAACAATTTTATTTACATGGAAACTGGAAAACTAGTGACAGGAAAGATAGGGTAGGCATTCCTGAGCTTTTACAAGTTCAAAGAGAAGTCCTCTGTGGCACTATTAATAACACAGTATGTGGCACTAGAACAAAAGATTCACATCTTTCCATCTCTTAATGCCATTCTCAATCTGATAGATCCGGAAAGTACATTAGGTTGGCCAGAGTGTCCTTTAATCTCTGCTGAGATTCAAGGGCTTCTTTGACTACTTAATAGGAAGGCAAATATGTACTCTCAGTGAAAATACCTCTTGGGATTCATTGGATTATGATGAGGAGTATTGAGCAGGAGGAATTTTTTATAAGTGTATTTAGTAGTTTTAAGAGAACCAAGCAAGGTGATAGAAGAGAGATGAGATAAGGAGGCAGGGGCTGAGAAGAGTCTACATCCTTGCAATTACAAGGATATGGGGATTCAAGGACATAGATGTAAAACAACAGACTGTAAGAGAGGTCTCAGACAAGGAAAGACAGCAAAAGCATTCCTTCTGGTATTCTGGAATGTGAAAGCCCCTCTACATGCTAATTATAAAAAATGAGCAAGCTCACAAGCAAATGAAAAAAGTATAAGGGTAGTTTTGAAACTCTATATTGCAGTGAGTGGAGATGGAGTTGGAAAGGGTTTTGAGAAAATAAAGTGTGAGATCATATGAGAGACAGTTTGGGTGAAAAATACAATTAAAATAGCCTTTTGGGTCTCTGTTCATGCCTAACTTCTCCTGCTGGCTTGGTCATGACCAACATTTATGCAACTTTAGTGTCTTCTGCAAGATGGGGTCCCTCTGCGAACCATTTGTTACCAGGCCATAAGATAAATACAACGGATAGTCCATTAGAAACTTCTGTAACAATTTTACAAGGTCCTACATACGTCTGTTGAGTTTAATGATAAAATGACTTGGGTTTTCTGTGTCTTTTTATTTCATCTTTGTAATTCTTCAGTGTTATTGTAATTTACATACAATGAAAAAGAGGAAAAAACTGTTCTTTCCTCAAGACAGTTTGAGAAGTACTCAGCAACAGAAGTAAACCAGTTTGGTGGGGGGCCCTATGTTGCCTTGCTGGTTCTATTTGACACCATCACTATTTGGAAAAGGCCCAGAATTGGGAATCTAGGGTTCATTTAAGGTTCTCATGGTCTATTTTCTGTAATCATTCACTATGCTGTCCTCTATCTCTTCCCATATTGCTGTGAAATAAGATTGAGCCTGTTCAGTGTTTAGAATAAAAGGATATGGGGGTCAATTTGGTCAATACGGGGGTCAATTCAACTGCTGAGTCGAATAGGTATACCTCTGGTCTATGTACTGACTCTGAGCAGGAGCAAAGTACAATTTAAGTTAAATCAACCCTACTAAATGAAGTGGTGATACTTGCTACAATAAAGATAAACCTCAAAGATTATGTTCAGTGAAAGAAACTCGATATAAAAGAACACTTATTATATCACTTCATTGATATGAAATGTCCAAAAAGGCAGACAAAGGAACAGAAAATACATAAATGGTTGCCCAGGGCTGGGGGTTGGAGTGGGGAATGACCATAAATAGGCCTAAAATTAGATTAGATTGTTTTCATGGTTGTACAACCCTGTAAATATCCCAAAACCTTTAATGGATTGGGGGAAAAACTGTTCCTTGCTCAAAATAATTTGAAAAGCCCTGGGCAAGAGAACTAAACCAGTTGGTACACTTTGAATTTTATACTTAGATTGGGTAAATTTATGATATATAAGTTACATATCAAAAAAATTTTTTATAAAAAATTAATCACTGCTAGTAAAAGAGCAGACATCCCAATTTTCCTCCAGATTCTTAACATATGAGTACAAAACTCCAAGCAATCAAAATTATTCATTTGATACACCTGTAGTGACAACAGCATAGTGCACTGAGTGCCTTGTAGATATTCTTTCCTTTAATCCTGACAAGAAATATACGTGTTAATTATTATTTTTTCTATTTCAACGGTGAGGGAATTATGGCCCAGAAACGGATGGCATTATACCCAATGTCACGACAAGATGGTAAACGGGAGAGTTGAAATTTAAGTTCATGTTGGTCTGACTGAAAAAACGTATACTGTTTTTACTAAACCAAATGACCTTTGATCCATTTTTGCAGAGGTCCAGTAAGTATAGACATTCAGAAAACCCTATGCTGAGGTGTTCAGAAAAAAAAAAATGTAATTCCCAAAGCAGGTTATGAAGTTAGTGTGTATAACATATATACAGATAATCATATCCCACCAATCTTTTATTGGCATTAATTTATATTGAGGAATACAAAGGATTCACAAAGTCTCATTCATTTGGTAGTCATGAACAGTTTTTACGAAACTATGTAGATTTGCGTATAGGTGAGTTATAGAAGACACATATTTGTGAAAAATATTTTTCTTAACCTATTGATGAGAATGTCTTTTTTGGCTCATCTCCACAATGGAAGTAAAATTTAGAAAAATATTCCTGCAATGTTCTAGAACCTGTTTTATAATCTGCTGATCCTTCACATTTCAAATGACATCAGTTGTGCCAATTTAAAAGGCAGTGCTATGGAGATAGGCTTTGTATTGCCAGAGGTATACATGTTTGCTTTGCAGGTCAAGGGGTAAAAATGAAAGGAAGGATCAGCAACATTTTACACAAAAAGGAAACATTCATCAGGATTCTTACCTGCCAGTGGAGGATTATATTCCAAATCAAACCAAGAGTCAGTTTGTGATTTCCATCTACTATGTCAGTGCTTCCAATATTCACTAAATCAACCTGTTAAAGATAAAGAAAAAACATTTAAGGAAAGAGACAAACGTCTATTTGGAAAGAAAACAAAATGCGAAGGTAATTGCATTTAGCTTTTTCAGAGCCTAAGCAGTCTTACAGCTTTTAAAAAATAATCTAAAAATGAAACAAAATGCATTTGTAAATGCACTCTCTTTAACAAACAAGTGCCCCTGAACACATTTACAAAGAGATAGGAAATGAATGTACTTTTAGTATATAAATAGATTACTGCAGATTAAAGAAGCCAATCAGAATATCTTCAAATAAAACGTATAACAATGGTAACTCATAAAGGATGCCTAAAATTAATATGTGCTTCCTAATACAAAATTGAAACTCAATGAAAAAAAGTTTCATCAGTCTTTTAATCTTGCTCAAAGGAGTGCTATTATAATTAGGGGTAACTGCATTTGACTAAAATGCCCATGCTTTAGAAACATATTAGAACTCTAATAAATAATGGAGCTATGGCGAGCTCTCTTTGCTATATCTAGGACTGGTTTTGGGAATCAAAATCTGGCAGGGTTTTTTTGTTTGTTTGTTTGCTTTTTTTAAGGCAAATCCTATCTCCTGTCCTTTATGTTTCTAATATTTTTAGGTGGAGTCAGGTTAAACATAAGCATCAGGCAAATAGGTGCATGAAAAGATGTTCAACATTATTAGCCATTAGGAAAATGCAAATTATAATCACAGTGAGCTAGCACTACACACTTACCATAATGGCTAAAATTTTTAAATAGTGACAACGTCAAATGCCAATGAGGATATGTACAAACTGGATCACTCATGCATGGCTGGGGGAAATGTAAATAGTACAGGCACTCTGGAAAACATTTTGGTACTTTCCTGCAAAACTCAGCATGGGCTGAGCATACAATCCAGCAATTGGGCTCTTGGGCATTTATCCCAAAGCAATGAAAACTTATATTTCTACAAACCCCTATATGTATGTGTTCATATCAGCTTTACTGGTAACAGTCAAACACAGCCATCTGGGAGAACAGCCTATGTGCCCTTCAAGGGTGAATGGTTAAACAAGCGGTGGTACATCCATACCATGGAATCCCACTCGATGATGAAAGGAACAAACTATTGATACACAAAGCAACTTGGGTGAATCTCATGGGAAGAATGCTGAGTTGAAAAAACAAAACCAACCTCAAAGGGTTACATATAGTATGGATTAAATATAACAGTTTTGAATAGCCAAAGTTCTAGAAATGGAGAATTGGGTAGCAATTGCCAGAGGTCAGAGATCAGGGTGAATGAGTGGGGTAGGTGGATGTGGTTATAGAAGGGCAGCATGAGGAGCCCCTGGGTGGCTCAGTCAGTTAAGTGTCTGCCTTCAGCTCAGGTCATGATCCTGGAGTTTCAGGATCGAGCCCTGCATCGGGCTCCCTGCTCAGCAGGGCATCTGCTTGTCTCTCTGCCCCTTACCCCGCTCAAGCTCTCTCTCTCACTCGCTCACTCTCTCTCAAATAAATTGAATCTTTAAAAATAAAAATAAAAAAATAAAAGGGCAGCTTGAGGGATCCTTGTGGTGATGGATCAGTTCTGCATCTAGTCTGTGATGGTGGATACACACATGTACATGTGTGATAAATGTACAGAATTAAAAATACCTGTGCATGCATACATGAGTGCAAGTAAAACTCAGGAAATATGAATATTATTGGTGACTTATATCAATGTTGATGTGTGTAGTGATAGCATCCTATAGTTTTATAGTATATTACCACGGGGGTAAAACTTGGCTAAAGGTACACAGGATCTCTCAGTACTGTTGCTTACAACTACATGAGAATTTACAATTATCTCAAAATAAAAAGATTAACTAAAAAATGGGCAGCTGGGGATACTTTAACAGGAGAAAACATCACAATAATCCAAATAGGCACCTTCAGATTAAGGTCTATAGAGTGGGTGTGAAACTGTCAGAGCAGGAGTGAGGGTTAAGAAGTAACTCAGAGAGGTGGAGCAAGATGGCGGAGGAGTAGGAGACCTGGATTTCGTCTCCTCTCAGGAATTCAGCTGGATAGGGATCAAACCATTCTGAACACCT